GGGTTGCGCCCATGCAAAAACTTACAAATCTTATCTGTCTGGTAAACAGCTAACTTCAACAGATCGCATGCAATAAGCTGAACTTACAAAGACTCTCAGCATCTACAATAGATTTTAGCTCAAGATCTGTAGAGTGCACTGAATTATAGATATGTTGTGTATCTAGGTTCAGTTAGCTGTGGCGGCCATCTTCAAATGGGATGACTCCAGAAGCCAATCATTTGTAGATGTGCATCCATCAATTATTCCCTGAAAGTTTCATTAGACCAGTAGATTAAAAAGTTTAGAAGCTTTTGTGTTTGCGTCAAAGCTGTTGAGTCCTCTAGTATCTCTCACATGTGGAATACCTCAGGGCTCTATACTTAGCACTCTTCATTTTTGCCTTGTTTTAATGATTTTTTACTGTTTTAATTGATTTTATGTTTGCTTTTATGTGTTTTATGAGTGAACAGCACATTGACCAACAGTGTTGTTTTTAAAGTGCTTTATAAATAAAGTTGTAATATATTGTATTGAATTAACATCTGTCCAGTTCAAGAGTGGGCAACATTTTTCCCCCAAAGGGCCAAATCAAGAAGTTTAAAGCAATCAAAGGGCCACATAAAGAATTGTAAAATACATATTATTAAAGACAGATAATCTTGAAAAAATGCTTTTTTCAGACTTTTTCCTAGTAACAGCATGCTCGATAAAAATATGCCTCCCCCCACCCCCCCACACACACTTCTCTTTTTGATTAAGAGGGATATTTTCTGTAATCTGGCACTTGTGACGATGCATTAGCCTAAATATACAAAGAAAAATTATATACAAAGTATTAGCTTTTAAGGTGTTTTAAAGGTTCAATCTAGTGTTTTTATCTTATTGTTTGTATGAATGAGAGCTACAGATCGCTGTAAGTATGTATGTATGTATGTATGTATTTACTGTAAAATAAACATTAAAAAACTTTTAATAAATACCAAAAAAACTTCTTGTTTACAAATTTTATTCTTATTTTTATTGCAGTTGTCATTTCCAGAGTTTTAACGCGTCCATCCTAAGCTTGACTTTTTTCCAGCAGTTACCTGCAAAAAGCAATAAAAACATAATAAGATACAATAATCAAATGTGTAAGTACACAGCAGTCTATAGACATTTTGTAAAAAAGGTACTTACCTTTTTTCATCAGCTGTCAGTCACCTAAAAAACAAATAAATACAAAGTCAACATAATAACATTTACATCATTTAAATAAACTGGATTCATAAAATACTTCTTTTAAAATGGACTCGTCTTGTTTCATCTTTATTCCAGGTGGCAGCAACCTACAAGAAACACAAGATAATATGAATACACAGGAATTGTGTACAAATATTTAAATGATTTTCTGGATATTTGTTTTTAAATTAACTTACCTTTTTTCAGATGATTTTCAAGCTGTTAGCAACAAATTACCAGATAAAATGGATAAATATTAGACAGGTTTATGTTTCATATGAAATAGACTTTAAAACTAAATATTTCTATACAAAACGGTACTTATCTTTCTTGTCCAGGGGACTATCTCCTCCCTCTCCTCCTCCTCACCTTCCTCCACCTCCTCCTCACCCTCTCTTCCTCTTCACTCTCCTCCTCAGTCTCCTTCTCCTCCTGTTCCTCCTCCTCCTCACCTTCCTCCACCTCCTC